TGTTATGACTCACCCTGTATAAAATTTACATAGGCCCATGCAGTATCTCGTAAACGAAATATTTTTATCAAACAGATACGCGCTGTTGGGGGCCAGCGGATGTGGCAAGACAACCCTGTTGTCCTGTATCGTCGGATTACGTTATCTCGACAGTGGAGAGATGTGGGTCTTGGGGGAATCTCCGAGCAGTGTGGGCTGCGGAATTCCAGGGCCTCGGGTAGGTTACATGCCACAGGATACCTCTTTAGTCGAACAATTTTCTACGAGCGATGCTCTTTATTACTTCGGCAGGATCAATGGGCTTGACGATAAAGAGATCGGTAAGATACTGAATATATGGGATAAGAAAACTTGTAGTTGTTGCGCGCGAAATATCATGTAAATTCTGACAAGTTTTACTTTTACTTTCAAGTAAGTCTTTCAAGCGGTTCTAATTTTGTCTTGCTCGAAAGATATTCTACTATGTCAATTTTCTACTATTTCAATTTTAAACAACCCCAGTTTATACATGTTATTTCCAAGAAACGAGATATAGGTTTTTCTCGGAATTGTTCCAACTGCCTCCAGCAAATCAGTTGGTGAAGGACATGAGTGGAGGTCAACGAAGAAGGGTTTCCCTTGTCGCCGCATTGATGCATAAGCCCGAACTTCTAATTCTCGATGAACCCACCGTAGGTTTGGACCCAATTTTGAGAGAAAAGCAAGTAGAATTGGCTCCTTTTAAGACGTGATAAGCACAAAATATTAAGAAAATGTTTCGACGTTCTTTTTTACAGCATTTGGGCTTATCTGATCAAACTAACACAGGAGGAAGGCACCACCGTATTGATCACGACGCATTATATCGAAGAGGTTAAAAAGGCTAATACAGTGAGTCGCCATTAGATTTGTCTTAATAATATTTACTACTGTATTTAAAAGATAGCGAAACTTCGTTTTAAAGAAAGCGCCAAAAATTTTGGAGAAATGTTTTTATGGCCTGGTTTACATCGTGCACTTGATATGAAATAGAGTACTTGAACTGATCGGCCAATGCGTGAACCAGTTTACTAGTTGTTACTATTTGTTATTCATGGGTGCTTTCCAAGAATAAAACACTGTGTCGTCACTGTGTAACACAGTGTTATACAGTGTCGACTTGTAGCTGGAACGCTGTTTAGCTTTTTTGTGTTACCGTCAGAGTGCAGGGCATTCACTTTAATAATTTGTCTCTAAATTTTCCGGTGTATATTGGTGTATATGCACGGAAAATAGTGTATCTGAATTGTTCCGAATATAATCTTAAAAATTTTCCTACCGGAATACCACACCGGAGAAAAATAAATGGTATATGTAAAAATGTTGGTATCCATGGAGTGACACAAAAATGCGAACACAGCATTTTAGCTGTGTACGCTTGTGTCGACTTGTGTCGTAGTTGGAAAGCACTGGGTCGTACACTGTGTTACACAGTGTCGCCTGTGTACGTTGCTGGAAAGCACCCCATATTAAGTGCACAATGTAAACTAGGCTAATTTTAATGCTATACTTAGCATTATTACGTTAACTCTTCCCTGTAGTGAATTAAAATTCTTATTGTAAAACATATTACCTCAGCCAGGATTCGAAACTGGGACCTCCCTCAATCCGGCACGCAGGACAGGGTAGAAAAAGACGGTATATGAATTCACTTACAAGTAACACTACCCAACTGATTTGACTACTCACAACACTACTCACCGATTTGAATGGAACTTAACATACTTATTAAACATCGAAAAATATTAAATACGTGTTTTTTTGTTTCGGCTAAATACCCTTTTTAGGGGTAGAAAGCACCCCTCAACCCCTGGAGGTGGAAACGGTTATGGCTAATTATTTCTGAAACGATACATTTTCCGAAAAAAGTGCTTAGGACCAAAGTTGTAGAAAGTAAAGTGATGCACTTGATGGCGACCTTGAAGTCGACCTTGAGGTCGATTTTCAAGGTCATTTAAAAATCATTTCATGTTTTTCAAAGGGAGTAATTTACTTTTCATCCCGAGAATCGATAGAGCGTAAAATTTTACATTCAGAACATTGGTGATTTGTAAATAAAACAAGCCTCTGCAATTTAAAATTGTTCATTGATCCAACCAATTAAGGCAATATCAGTCAATAATTCGATCAATAAAGGAATTAAAAATTAATTATTCATGAAAATAAGGCAAGATATGTGATCGAGATCCAGCCAGTGAAGGCCAGATGTGTTCGAGATCCAGTCAGTGAAGGCAAGATGTGATCGAAATCCAGCCAGTGAAGGCACAAGATGTGATCGAGATCCAGCCAGTGAAGGCAAGATTTCATAATTTCTTTTCATAGTCTGTGTATGGAGCATTTTTTTGCGATAAAAGATAAAGCTATTCCTCATTATTGCCATGAATATAAAAAATAATGGCAATTATTATGGAATTTAAACTCATGGACTATGAAAAGAAATTATGAAATCTTGCCTTCACTGGCTGTATCTCAATCACATCTTGTGCCTTCACTGGCTGGATCTCGATCACATCTGGCCTTTACTGGCTGGATCTCGATCACATCTTGCCTTCACTGGCTGGATCACATCTTGCCTTATTTTCATAAATAATCAGGG